ATCATGTTGTCATAGATCTAGAAAGGTCGCCTAAGCAAGCCCTCTTCTTTACTAGTGAGGAAACCCCTCACAGAAGGGCTGTGACCTGCAGAGGTTTGAGTGATCAAACCAGAACAGAGACAAGGTTTTAAACTCCCGTTTTATTTTGCTGTATTATACCATGCTATTTGTCCAAGCACTTAGGAAAGGAGAAGAAAGGGTTAAGGTTTAACAAGCAATTTCATGTTGAAAAAGTCATAGATGTCTCCTCTTTTGTCAGAATAGAGATTTTGATCTCATGAAGAATAATAGGATGAAGATTCTTGTCCCATTTTTAGAAACACAGGTTTGAAAACCTGCATTCATCTAATCCTTCAAATTTTGCAGTGGTAGTACATTCTCTGACTGAAATGCCTAAATGCCATACCTGTTTGGAATAATATCGAGATGAAGAGGTCAGTAGGAGGTAGCCTTCTAGACCTTTTTGCTAAAGCTGTAAGGAGAGTTTGAGAGTGGCAACTTCAATAGCGCTCTTTGAGCTGAGAGGCTGGGAAATGAGGTCAGCAGCATCGCACTCTCCAAGAATGGCAAGGGTCGGGATTGTAAGTGGTGGTAACCAATCTTGTGCTTATACCCTAAAGGACTTTGCCAAAAACAAAGTCACTGTGCAAATTATCTGAAGCTTTCAGAAGGTGGTGTACAACGTCTAGTTGGTTTTCTACCTTCTTCATGTCACATGATCTATATACACCCACTTACCCCCTTCCATCCCTATTGACTCTTTCTCTATACCTGGCCCTAGTCATCTCACACCCAGACTGTTGTACCTACCCCTCATTGTCTCCTTCTCTTATTCTCCCTCAATTTGGCCAAGCTAAGTTTCCTAAAATGGCTCTCTTCATGTGCTGCTGACCTGTGAAAAATGAGGAGTGGAGCCTGGGTGCCCTTCCTCAGCCTGCTCTCTATGTGCTTCTCTGGTCCTCTCCCTTCCTCCTTCCTCCTTCCTCCCTCGCCAGTCTCAACTGTCCACGCCCCTTAATTGCAAAAGGCATATCAGCACGGTGGGTGAGGTTGTGGTCCTGGCAGTCCAGTGGCCCCAGCCTGAATCCTGCCCTACCAACCTGTGACCTCAGACAAGTTAGGTAACTTCTCTGGCCTCTTTTTGCTAATCTGTTAAGGGGGGCAATAAGGCTGTGTAAGGATTATATGAAATACTCTAGGTAAAAGTGCATGGAGCGGTGTCTGCCACTTAGTAAGTACTGTTAGCCACTTCTGTGATTATCAGTCTGGTTTCTGTGCTTTGTTCCTGTTATTTGTTTCACTTATTTAAGTCCTTCACGTCCTCCGTGGCTCCATATTATCTTGTCTCCCGTTTCCTGACAGCACTGGCTCATAGTAGTCCTTTCTCATGTTTTCAGCCATCTTTGCAGTACTGGTGCCATGCACAGCACTATTCCAGCCACAGTGGCCTGCCTCTATGCCTCCGACACTGGAGCCACACTCCCATTTCATGGCCTTTGTGATGCTGTTTTCTGCTTGGAATGCTCTTCCCCCAGATGACTGTGGCTGCTCCTTCTTCATCCTGGTCTCTGTTTCCCTCAGAGAGACTTTCCCCCACTGTGCTATTTAAAATAGCATTCCTCTTCACCTTACATACATTAACCTGCTGCATTCTTGTCATATTTATCACTACCAGGCAAGCATAATCATTTTTTTCTTATCCCCAGTTGGACTGTAAGCTCCGTGAGAGGATAGACTTTGTTTTGTTCACAGCCTTATCCCTAGAACCTAGAAACGTTCTTGGCACGTAGTAGGAGTTGAAACGTGTTTCTTTTGTTTTTTAGTTTTTAATTTTTGTGGGTACAAAATGGGTGTATTTATGAGTTACATGAGACATTTTGATACTGGCATGCAATGTTTAATAATCACATCAGGGTGAGTAGAGTATCCACCACCTGAGGCATTTATCCTTTGTGTGAAACGTGTTTCTTTGATGAATATATGGTAGTAACAGCTTTTCTCGATGTACATTCCAGCATTAGATGTGTAGAAACTGATTCAGAAAGGGAGTGCACACATACAATAGGAGAACCATGCTTTTGCATGAACCCTGCCAGGTGCATGAGGCCAAGGAGGAAGATTGTTGCTGAATGACGCTGAATAAGTGATTTTATCAGCAACATTTAGGGGTCCCTGGTGTAGTACAGGACTGGACAAGGTGCTATGGGAGATACATAGGCATAATACAGTGCCCTTTTCTCAGAAGTGTTGTACTCTTACTTGGGAAGGTAAGAATAAATACGTAAGAAGTTAAATACCAACCCACAGTGAAAGAAATATTGCCAAATTCTGAATGATTATCAGTGATTATTACTGACCAAAGGTTGGCAAAATTTATTTGCAAAGGGCCAGATAATAAATATTTTAGGTCTGTCATAACTGCTCAACTCTGTCGTCAGAACTCAAAAGCAGCCATAAACTTTAGGGTAAGTAACAAGTGGGCATTGTTTGACTTGGCCTTAAGGCCTTTGCCAACCTCTCCTATTGACAGGAAGTTCTGTAGATTTTGTGGAGTGGTCATGAAAGGTTTTTCTAAGGAGTTGCATCTTGAGTGGAGAGTGAGTGGTTGACTGAAAGGACAAATTAGATTATATATGGAAGGCTTAGGAGACATGGAACAAATCAGCCTAGCTAGTGCTTAGACACTTGGTTCCTTATTAAATAGATTTCTGTTGTAGGGGCATTTCTGAACATAAAGCACTAAGAAAGTCCTGACTTTAAGCTTGCGCCCAGTGCATTAGCCAAGTATCGTTACCCCTACTATATTTGGAAGTAAGGATGGAGGCCTTGAGTAATTGCTCTGCTTCTAACCTGCTTCCTGTAGCAGAAATATAATTGCCTATCCTTTCTAGAGTGAGGTTGTTTAGGTTCACTTCCCAGCTGTGCCAGCTATTAGCTGTGTGACATTTAGCAAGTGACTTAATCACTCTGAACCTCATTTTCTCCATCTGAGAGAAGGATAATAATCATATTGGGATTATGAGGATGTAGTGGGATAATCTATGTAAAGTGCTGAGTACAGTAGTACTGGCAATAATAAAGCTTAGAAAATGATGGCTGTTATTTTTATAACCTCTAAATTAGGTTGAAAACATTAGGGTTGTTTTGTTGGAATTATTTTAAATTCCTACCAAAGTGTGTATATGCTCAGGAAGCTTGACTGTGCCACTTTGCATAAATAGAATAAACTGATGAACTTTATAAAAAAGGTATAGATGATGGAAATATTTGTCTGCCTTAGCCTTATCTCAAAGGGACAAATCCCTACCTAACCATTCTTAATTCATAATCCTATGCTTAAGAATTGCTAATCATAGAATGTACCTGTGCAGGTTGATGGCTGTAGCTCAAACTGCCTGTGTGGCTGGAAATTCCAAGGTCAAAATTATAGATTAAAGTGATTCCAGGGTCGTAGTGCCCCCAGCTATACCTGCATATCCTCTCTGGAAGAACAATAGACTTTAAACCCAGATCTCACAAGCTTTGTACAGATTAAGTTCCAAGGAATGTAAGTTAGCAAAAACAACAAAACTCTTCACAACACCACTATAAGCGAGGTTTAGTAGAAATAAGAATCAATAAACTGCAGAATCAGTTGGCAGCAGAGACTTCGAATATTGGAATTGGCAGATACAGACTATAAAATATACTTAATGTAATTCTTAGAAGAATTAAAAGAAAGTGTAGAAACAAGTATAGAAATTAGAGGCTATTATAATTGACCAGTTGTTTTTAAAAGAATCAGTAGCAATACAGTAGTATGGCCTGGATATTTGGTGGCTCCTGTCTTGCCCTGACAGACCAGGTTTACACACACATGCTTACATACTCACACAGTGTTTGTTGGTTTATTCCATTCAACAAACATTTTTTATACCAAGCATTGTGTTAAGCACTGGGTAGAGAAGACCAAGAATATGATTACAAGGTGATGCTTATCTTTAAGGAGCTTATAGTCTACTGTTGCCTTTGTTTTCCAAAGGAGGTCAGTCTTTGGAAGGCCGAAGACAAAAGACAATGGAGACTACAGTCTTAATGGCCTAACAGGATTTTTTGGCTGCCATTTTACTGCCCATGCATAGCTAGGTCTGTCCTCCAGCGTACTAGTCAGCTCAGTTCACCTAGACCAAAAATCAGTACACCTTCAGTACATAATGCCCACTATTTTGGAGTTGTCATTTCCTTGGTAGAGTCCTTTGAAACCAGGGATTTCTCTAGGTTTGGGGCTTTATAAGCTCCCTGCTGCCTAGAATTCCTAACTCACTGCCCAAATAATTCATTTATTTAAAAAATTAGGGCAATATGTTAATAGGAAAATGCCCATTTACTCCCAGGCATTTTATCACTTCAATAAGTAACTGAAATATAAACAATATTAATTCTGAATATCCTAACCTAGTGTAGTAAAGACGTTTATATAAGTACTTACAAGGTCCAAGTGAAGTAATTCACATCATGAAAGAATGAAATACTATAAGACACTAGGTAAAGAGCAAACATTTTGTCTGAGTAGGCGCCTGAAAGTTTCACAAAGGACATGGCATTTGAACTGGGGTTTGAAATGACATTTTGATAGTTCGTTAAGGAGGTGGGGATTGTGGAGGGCGTCCTAGCCTGAAAGAAGGGCAAGAGCAAAGGTACAAGTCGGAGGCTTAAAAGTATGAGATGGTTTCTGCAGAGGTGAGAAATGTGGCTGAAATTTATAAAAATGGCACTCTTGCATCCCCCACTGTGGAGTTTCCTCTTTCTGCGCTCTCTGTCCACTTTCCCCTGTTACTGTGCATCTCCTGTGTTCCACTTGGGATGACCCCTGTTGAGATACTTGGAGAGGAATAACTTCCCTGTACATATTAATGAGACTGTCAGAAATAAAATGTTTTATGTATGTAACTGTGAAGCCAAATTTTCATGTGCATTACTAAATGATATCTTGGAATGGGTGATTGGGGAATATTTTTCAGGTTGAAAATATCCTCTTGCATGACCGAGGCCACTATGTCCTGTGTGACTTTGGAAGTGCCACCAACAAATTCCAGAATCCACAAACTGAGGGAGTCAATGCAGTAGAAGATGAGATTAAGAAGTAAGCTTTTTCTCCTTTCTTGGAATTTTGTCCACGATCAGATGAGTAACTTTACTTTCGGCTTATGGATGAGAAAGTCAGGGTGGGAAGAGAATGGGGATAGTCAGTTGTCCTTCAAATCAGAGCGTCATGTTCACGGTTGGGTTGTTTGACTTTAAGTGAAGAATGAGGAGGGGGTTTACAATCATACATCAGAGTAAAAGGAAGGACTCTTAGAGCACTTTATGAGTGGTCCTGTGGTCATTGTACATAGATACTTTGATTTATAATATCACAGAACCTGTAAAAAGCTGAGAGGTTCACACACCATGAAAGTACTAGGATGTTTTTAAGTATGATCATAACAACCATGATATTATCAATCAAACAGATGTGCTTTTTACTGAACCTTAAATTGCTGCTTCCTTCCTGCTCATAAGGCAGTCTAAGTGGAAATAATGGTGAGTAGGTTATTAAAATCTCCACAAATACTGAATCACAGACTTTCACGAGAAAAAGCTTATTTAGATTTGTGACTCCAATAAGAGCTTGACCCATTTTCCCTCATGTCCACAATGTTGGATTTTTTTTACAGGCCACAGCACTCACTGTTACTAGTAATAAATCAACAGTCTAGCCTGCACACCTACATCCTGATCTTCTCTGTCCTTTCATGCATCACCTCAGACAACCACGCCTGGGGCAGGAAGACCCTGATGGACCTAAGGCCCTGAGGGGTGCCTGGACCCATCCCATCTGGGATCTAGAGACTCAAGCAGCATAAATCACATGCTTGGTAACACCAAGACACTCACTGTGAGGAAGTGCTTATACTACTTTTTTCTTGAGCAAGAGATAAAACGGATATTTCAGCCTGATTCCAGGAGCAAAGAGGAAGGGCTGTTGATTCCATCCACTCCTCATCCCAGCAGAGCCCACTTTCTGCTCTTCTCCAGAGTACCCCAGTCAGTATGACATCTCTGTGCTGACACACATTTAAAGGCCATTTTTAAAACAGCAAATTGACAAAATATAGTACCAGAATAAGAGTTTATAAGAGAAGATTTTGTTATTTGAGGACCCAAGAAAGTTGCTTTTAGAATTTACATAATGCATTAGTGTATGAGTCCCCACATGTTCTTAGACTAGGAGGACTGCTGCCAAAGGACCATGGTGTGATGATATGATTGTACCAAGGACAACCTTGCATTTTATCTGCACTAATATTTCATACTCTTCTGTAGATTGCTCCCAGGGATTCTATTAATGTAAAAAGGAAAAAAAAAGTATTTCTGCTGCTCCTGATTTTTAATTATAGTATTGACATATTTAATAAAAAATGAATCTCTTGATTGTAGATACACAACGCTATCCTATCGAGCACCAGAAATGGTCAACCTGTACAGTGGCAAAATCATCACTACGAAGGCAGACATTTGGGTAGGTGTCAAGTAACCTATCCGTACCTCAGATAGCAGCAGTCTTGATTGTAAATTCCCAAGATTAATGCATGCAGTGCTATGCATGGTGGCTGCTGTACCATATCCTTACCTACTTACCCCTCAAGGTTGTTCTTGTTGTGAGAAGACCAGCCACTGCTTCTTGAAGCATGATAAAATTACTTCCAAGCTCTGTGAAAATTATGTGGGTATTTTTTTCATGCAAATATTGCTAGTTCTTTTTTTTGATAGAGTCTCACACTGTTGCCCAGGCTATAGTGCAGGGGCACGATGTTGACTCACTACAATTTCCGCCGCCTGGGTTCAAGCAATTCTCCTGCCTCAGCCTCCCTAGTAGCTGGGATTACAGGCACGCGCCACCATGCCCAGCTAATTTTTTTGTATTTTTAGTAGAGACGGGGTTTCACCATGTTGGCCAGGATGGTCTTAATCTCCTGACTTTATGATCCGCCTGCCTCGGCCTCCCAAAGTGCTGGGATTACAGGCATGAGCTACCATGCCCAGCACATGTTACTAGTTCTTAAGAGCAAAACAAATACTTATTCTTTACTGGAGCACGACTTGGTAATAATGGTACAAATAATGTAACTCAGCTGCTAAACAGTGGTGTTGGGTTTTAAAACTCACGTTTCTAATACATTGATAGTCTATAGTTTTTATATCTGCTAGTACATGTGGATGATGTGTTTCTCATTAGATCCATTTACAGTCATGATAAATAGACCACTAGTAGCAATCTGCTGTCCTTATTTTTTTAGGCTCTTGGATGTTTGTTGTATAAATTATGCTACTTCACTTTGCCATTTGGGGAGAGTCAGGTGGCAATTTGTGATGGAAACTTCACAATTCCTGATAATTCTCGATATTCTCAAGATATGCACTGCCTAATTAGTAAGTATTTTAAGTTTCTAGTTTCATATTTTTATTTCTATTCACAGAGAATGAATTGGGGGATAAAGGGATACGATTTCAGGAATAATGAATTAAATGCAAAGATAAAGAAATTGGTTAATAATGATTGGGAACTCACAATGTAACAGTGTCTAGTTAGAGCAGTGCGGCTTTTTGCTGGAATTCTTAAGTTCTGCTTCACACCTGAGTCCAGCCACCCAAGCAGAAATCCTAACTGTGCCTTGAGCAGTATAGTGCTTCTATATTCTGTTGCAATCTCTATGAAAGCTCTGGTACCAAAGGAGTCCAGCTGACTCATATCAAGTGATAAGAAATTCATCTTTGCAAAACTGGAAGCAACTCAAATGAAAATGATTGCAGTGCATTGACTGAAGTGAATACATAATTAAGACTATATAACTCCATGGAACCAGGTTTTTCCTCTCATTTAGGTTAATCACTGGATTTTGATAACAAGCACCTAAACTCAATGCTTTCTTAAAAATAGTCTTAAGATTCCCCACTATTTGGTATCATCATAGCAAGCATATGTACTAACATTCATTAACCAGATGGTAGAATAAGTAATTTAAAAAAAAAAAAAAGAAAGAAGAGGAATCTTTGCACAAGCCCCTATACTAAAATGCTAAAGAAGCAAAGATTTTTCTCGTCTTTCCACATTGGTTGAGACTCTTAGCATCTAAGTTTTTAACTGTGATAGATTGATAACAAATCATGAGCATCCCAGTTTGGGTCCTGCATGGGGATACACTGGAAAAAATAGAAGCAGCAAATGTGAGTGGAGCATCTGACATTTGTTGAGGGCTTACTTATGCCTTATTTAATTCTTGAAATCCTTTATATATTAAGTATAATTATTCCCATTATGCAAATGAGGAAGCTGAAGCTGAGAAAATGGAGTTAACTTATCCAGTTAACATAGATACAGCTTTTTTTTTTTTTTTTTTTTTGAGACGGAGTTTCGCTTTTGTTACCCAGGCTGGAGTGCAATGGCGCGATCTCGGCTCACCGCAACCTCCGCCTCCTGGGTTCAGGCAATTCTCCTGCCTCAGCCTCCTGAGTAGCTGGGATTACAGGCACACGCCACCATGCCCAGCTAATTTTTTGTATCTTTAGTAGAGACGGGGTTTCACCATTTTGACCAGGAGATACAGCTTTTAAGGTACTGCCCATTCCATTGTGCCAGTTTTGTCAATCAGCCTCTTCCATTTATTGACAAAAAAAGGAAATAGTTAAAGGACTAGATTATGACATTTAATGATTGTTGGATTGTTTTCAGAGATAAAGCATTATATCCATATTAGAATTCCAGGTATGTAAGTGAGATTGGTAGGAAATATGGGAAAATGGCCAACTTTGATGTTAGACTAGTATTATTTTTTGATGATTTTTTAAAACATTTATGTAGTAAATTCGTATTGAGAAAAACAACTCTTTATGAATGTCTATACCATGAACATCTTTCCCAAACTGCTTGCAAACCACTTGGCAACTCCACTGTCACCCTAAACTCACAGATCTAAAATTAAGTTTATCATCATTAGCCCTCCTTCCTTCTCTTTACCCCCAATACCCATTCCCCTGTCCTCTTTTCATTTTCTCTCAGTGGTATCACCATCAAAGCCTAGAAAAATGAAATTTAAGATTTGTTTAGATCCAGCTAGCAGGAGAGAGGAAAGTTTCAATCATTTACTCGGCCACAATTATTCCTTTTTTGGAGTGTACTGTCTTTATTGCATTCTTTATATGTGCATCACTATCACTGTAGTATATACGGACTCTGTCAGCTCATGCCTCTACTGTTGGACTGGTCACCAGCTTTTCTCTTCTGTCTTCGATCCATCCAGCACACCCTCACCAAAAGATTCCTCTTACAAAACACCACCTTTCATGTCCCTGATTGGAAAACTCCGGTGGCTTGCCAATGGTCCCACAGTAGGGCCCAGCTTTTTAGCATGGCATTTAAGATTCTGATTCTGATTGCATTCCACCCACTCAGCCTTCTCTCTACCCTGTCCTTCTGGCTCCTCTGTTTCCGTGCAGCAAGGCATTCTCTTGTCTTTCTTCAAGTTCTTCTTTGCTAAGACTGTTCTCTCAACTGGAATGTCTTTTTCTCTGCTTTCCTGCGACTGAATTCTGTCCTGCTTTCAAGGGACAGGCCAAGTCCTGCCTCTTTTGCAAGGTGGTCACAAGGCTGCAGCCTCACTGATCTTTTTGGAACTCAGTGTCCAGAGCATTCACTTTATTATTTAAGCAATCTGCTGCCTTGCATTGTTGTTTGCATATATACCTGTATGTTTGTATTCTTCTCAAAGATTTTTTTTTTCCTGAGGATTTTTCCAGCCTGAGAGAGGCAGAAGCTTAAAGGACCTGGAAATAGACAAGTAATCTATAAGTCACAGGAAATGTAGATATGCATATGTTACTTTGTTATTTCTTTTTATCTGGAAACCAGCTAATATTTCCAACAAAAGAATAATAAGTAAACTCATTAAGTTTGGGGTTTGGTTATAATTATTAAGAATAATCATTCGTTTAGTGAGATAAGATGAACCAAGGAAGCCCATGGTAAGACCCTGTAACCTCCTCAATAGCAGAGTGTGAAGGTGGTAACTTTCATATTGAGAGCTTGACTCCCTCTGGTGCAAAGCATAGAGTATGAACTTTAAGTATCTTTATTATAATTCACATATTTTATTTTCTTATGGATATTATTTTATATTCAGGAACATTAGAGCTTCTCTAAGAGGGGAGAAAAGAGGCTAATTATACTGTCTGACTTTTATGAAAAATAAAAACTTAAAACATTGGGAGTGGAGAGAGGAATGATGTTTCCTAGCTATGCAATAACTGTTGGAATATTATTAAATAAGTTCACCTATGTTTGCCTTAGGGTATATGTTGGAACCAGACCCTGACAAAAGGCCGGATATTTACCAGGTGTCCTACTTCTCATTTAAGCTACTCAAGAAAGAGTGCCCAATTCCAAATGTACAGGTACGTGGATGGTGCTATTTAAAGGGAGTAAACATTATCAAATTGCTGTTTTGAGTTCCTGGGGTGCTAATCAGCTGTTTAAATGAATATAGATGTCCCTTGCTTTATCTACTAGAGGGCATTCAAGCAAAGCTAACTGTGAAGCAATTGCCATAAAGGGAATCCAATTTTCCTATGGAATTTAGTTACAAAACTGAAGCAATTGTGCTAAACAAAAAAATGCCCTAGGGATTGAGATGAACACTTTGGATGAAGATTGACCAACTTCATGTCTATCAATTCTTCAAGTTCTCTTGAGAGCCACATGCCTGGTGTAGTCACCTGAAGGTGATTTGGCAGGCTACTTTCCAGAGGCGTGGCCTTGGACATGCCCCCATGCATGTTAAGATCTACACCCTTTGTTCCTGTTCTCCTTCCTTGCAGCAGAGCTTTCTTGATTTTGCTTCCGCTGTTAGCCATTTATAACTCACACTCCTCTCTCTCTGTCCTTCCAACACATCAAACAAATGTTTTCTACATTTAGTAATCCTAAATTGCACTCACAATTTTCAGAGTAAAATGCTTGCAAATGTCTTTTTTACAATCCTTGCATATTTTTCATGTCATATTATGATCTATTTTTCTTAAATATTTTATTAATGGATGCTATAATAAATAGATTCTGACCTGATATTTTCTTGCTAGTTTCTCCAGAAATGGGCTTTTGATTTCACTGTTGGGGCTTAAGGGTGCTGCTCCTCTTTCACTTTCACATTTGGAATCAGATGTGGGGTTCATCCAGGTGGAGTTCAGAATATTGGCTTTGTTACTAATAAGCTTGAGTCAGAAGATGTAGCTTGACCAATTAGGCTCCCTAGCATTAGACCACATGACTAAGATGTAAACACCTGATTCCTTCTATAAAGGAAGGAGGGCAATAGCAAATCGGACCAGCTCACTTTTTCCACAGTTTTATCAGTCACAGAAGTCAACTCTTCTCCTTTCGGAGAGGAATGCTTGAAGAAGAGGAAGTGCTAGAAATTTTCTTGTAGAGATTCCCCCCACCTGGAAACATGAAGGAAGTGAGAAGACCCTCCTAAAAGTCCAGTTTTATAACTAGTATTCTGTGTGTTGGGTTTCCCAGATTAAAACGAGGGATACTATGCGGTAACCTGCCATGACTGTGTCTTCTTTTGTAGTCCCACTTTACCATTCATAAAGTTAGATAATGTGAAATCTAAGTGAAAGCATTCAGATTGGTAACTAGCTTTTTAAAAGTACACCTCACAAGTCTCATGTCATTTGGTACTCACTCAGTAGTGGTAAGCACTTGTTTTAGGGTTAGGGACAGCTAGCTAGCGCTCCCTCACGAGGCATTATTAGCTGGATAGTGTGGATTTCAAGCCAGAGGAATTCTCCTTGGCTTGTGGATTGTGTAGTGCCTTACATGTTGGGAAGGGGTACTGGCTCAGCAGCCATACACAGGGGTGGCTGTGGTTTTCTCTGAGCAGACTCAGTGCACCCTGATTTGACACATTGGTAACCTGGAACGAAGATCTGTCTGGGATCCAGAATAATACCAGCTACAGACATTTCCTTCCCATTCCTTTCATAGCATCACTTCCAAGCTGTGCTATAGGAGGAGAAGGGTACTGAGAAGATCAAGCCGCAGTGACTCAGCATGGTGCACAAGATGGAGAATGGGGAGCATATGCTGCGTACAAGCTACTCTCTCCTCTTCTCAGATACTTTACTTCCCTGACTGTGGCTGAGTCTGCTATGCATTTGGTTAACTTTCCTTCCCTCTACCAGACAGAGCTCAGGGCCTGGAAACTGCTCCAAAAGATCCCAAAATGTGTTTCCATCAGCTCTCAGTCCCAATCAGACTGCTTATTCTTTAGCGAAAGAAATCTGTGATATCCTTTTTTTTTCCCCTTTTTTGCAATTCTATAGAACTCTCCCATTCCTGCAAAGCTTCCTGAACCAGTGAAAGCCAGTGAGGCAGCTGCAAAAAAGACCCAGCCAAAGGCCAGGTAAGACATGCCTTCATGAGCACATGTCCTCCTTGGAGCCATAGCTGCAGGGAATGATGCCTGCGTTTCTTGATCCTTACGTATGCTCTCATGACCAGGGGCTGCACAGATCAGGAAAGCAAGCTCTGTTTTGCCTGGGCAGAAACTGTTCTTTGGGAATGCAAAGAGGAATATCATGAAATATCGTGATCTAAATTTGAAAGAGAAATCAAGAACTCTAAAGCTGTTTTCTTTGCATGGCAGTAGGCTCAGGGAAATGCAAAGATGAGACAACAGCAGATTTTAATGTTGCTAGTACGGCGGGGCTTGGTGGCTTACATCTGTAATCCCATCACTTTGGGAAGCCAAGGAGGGTAGAACCTGAGGTCACAAGTTCAAGACTGGCCTAATCAACATGACAAAACCCCATCTCTACTAAAACTATAAAAATTAGCCAGGTATGGTGGCACATGCCTGTATTCCCAGCTACTTGGGAGGCTGAGGCAGGAGAATCACTTGAACCTAGGAGGTGGAGGTTGCAGTAAGCTGACATGGCACCACTTCACTCCAGCCTAGACGACAGAGCCAAACTCCATCTCAAAAAAAAAAAAAAAGGAAGGTTGCTAGTACAAGAGTATCCAAAACATTAGCCAGGCATGGTGGCACCTGCCTCTGGTCCCATCTGCTCTGGAGGCTGAGGCAAGAGAATTGCTTGAGGTCAGGAATTTGGGATCCGACTGGGCAATACAGTGAGACCCTATCTCTTTGACAAAAAGCAAAAGGTATCCTAAACATGTGTCCTGGCTTTGGTTAGCCATATTCACCACCCTAATACTCAGCCTCCCTTTCCTTTTTACTTTCTGTGGCTCCAACCACATTAGGAAAGTGTAGGTCAAAGCATCAGGTCCATGAACAGCAGAAGACTCTCTGGGTCTTAGTTAATCCCTAGGGACTTCCAAAAAGCAGATGCCAAAAGAGGATTAAACAAACAAAGATGTTATTTGGGGAAATGCTCAAGTGAGAGAAAACAGGGAGGGAGCCAGGAAAGGCTGGGAAGGCTGTCTGTCGGAAGGCAATGCTTCTAGCAGCAGGATAAAGGAATAGTCAAAGAAGAAAGACGGAGGACATGCACCAGTTATTTCTTATGGTTTCTGGAAACTGCAACATAATAATCTTCTTACATCTCATGTAATGCCAGGACTTAGAAACAGGATCATAGCAATTTGCAAAAGAGACTGGGCAATGTGATTTTTACTCTGGGTGACCCTCTACCCAACTAAAACTTTTGTTACTGTGGAAAAAAAGTAGTATGTATTTTGGAGGAAATGGAGTTTCTGTCACATTTCCATTTTTAAATCCTTTAACTTGAATTATTTACTTTTTCCTTCTAGTGTCATGTTGGATTCATTCATTTGCATGCTTTTCATTGTAGAGAGACCACTTTGACAGCTAGTTGCTGCCCAGTTTGAATTCTGTCTGCATCTGAAAACCACGTGCCTCAAACCCGTCTTTGCATCATCACCCAAAGTGTATTTTGGGAAATCCTAGGAGGTGCTGGGTAAAAGGGCCACAAGATGAAATAAGCTTGAGAAACACTGCATTCTATATAGCATTCTCTTGGAGATTCTCCATGCCTTGCATATTCACACATGAAAAGCTCTGCTAGAAGGAGAGCCACTCAGTATATTTTGATCAGTGTTTGACAAATTTATTTGCCCACCAAGCCTGTTTTCAGAAGGTCTGGTAACATAATGACATCCTGTGGGAGATCTTTTGGGAAGCGTCAGTTAAGCAGATCTGGAAGGTTTGGGTTGATGTGGAAATGGAAGCATCGTGTCCTCTGCTCATATCCTTCCATTTTTCCCATACTTTAGTATGAACCTTTCTCTTTTCCCTTTCTAGACTGACAGATCCCATTCCCACCACAGAGACTTCAATTGCACCCCGCCAGAGGCCTAAAGCTGGGCAGACTCAGCCGAACCCAGGAATCCTTCCCATCCAGCCGGCCCTGACACCCCGGAAGAGGGCCACTGTTCAGCCCCCACCTCAAGCTGCAGGTTAGTATCTAGATTGCTTTGAAGCTCAGTACACCTTTTTGTTATTCAGGACAACAGGGAAATCTTGGAAAGCCTGGTTTGCTTTAGGATTGGAATCTAGAGGCACATAGAGTGTTCCTTGAGGAACAGGAAGAAGCTGCCATTGAAATTGTACGGCAATGGCCAGGCATGGTGGCTCACGCCTGTAATCCCAGCATTTTGGGAGGCTGAGGCAGGTGAATCACCTGAGGTCAGGTGTTAATTTCAAGACCAGCTTGGCCAACATGATGATAATCCATCTCTACTAAAAAAATAATAATAATAATACAAAAAATTAGCCAGGCATGGTGACGTGCACCTATAATCTCAGCTATTGGGGAGGCTGAGCCAGGAGAATTGCTTGAACCTGGGAGGCAGAGGTTACAGTGAGCCGAGACCATGTCTTTGCACTCGAGCCTGGGTGATAAGAGAGAAACCCCATTTAAAAAAAAAAAGAAAGAAAGAAATTGTATGGCATAAGACTGACAAAAGGGGGAACCTCCTTTAATTCTGGGATGGATCTCCAAGACCACTAAAGCCCCTTGTCTCTATCTTTTTCTAGACCTGGCCCTGATTTTTGGGTTTTAGAACCTTATCCTACCACTTTATTTCATATATTTCCCTTTGCCTGTAAAGAAACAAGACTCTTCCAAAGTGTTTTCAGTCCAGAGTATCTTCCCTGTTCTGTTAATTAAACTTTGGGACATTGAAATGGGCCAAGGGAGATGATTGGGTAGAAAGCATGATTCTATTCATTTGCCTCCTAGCCTACAAAAATGCCTGCTTGGGTCTAATAAATCAACAATTAAAGATGCCTAGAAGAGACAGAACTGAAGAGGCTGACGGGCTTGGACTAGCAAACAGGTTACATTCAATTTTAGGAAGTTTGGAGTCTGATTAGCTGAGATACAAAGAAACTGATTTATTTTCATACATGCCCCCCCAAAAAAATAAAAACAAGACTCATCTCTTTTGACATTCGCAGAGGAATATTGTTTCCTTAATGCTTTGCCCTTGAAGTATCTACCACACCTTCATGTTTTGGTATTCTGTTTCTAATGGGATGAATGAGTTTTGTTTCATAAGAAGGATTGATCCAAAATATCAAGTAACTGAAACCTCCCAGGAAGCTGCTTTTGCTGAATGTGGTGGCCATCTACTTATAGTCAAGCATCCAGACTGGGATAAGCTACATGTAAATCACCAGGGAATGATTTTGTCATGCTGCATGCCAAGAGGGGCAAAACTTAGGTATGTGTACCAAAGGCCAGTTGACTATGTGGACACTTAGGGTGCCAACTTAAGTTGTAATTGACCAAATGGGGTGATTAATAAAGGAATACTTTCTTAAGGAGGCAATATTGAACCTTGTTTTAAAAAATTTGAAATACATAATATAGCAAGAAGATAGAAAGACAGTCCACGTGGGACAGAGCATGTGGAAAGACAGTGAGGAGCACACGTATCTTGGGATAATCTGCCCATTTGTCACCCCCTATTAACTGTTTTGGCAACACAGAAAGCCCCTTTTGTCTGGAAGAGTTTGGAGCCCTTACGTGGAGTTTATTCTCTTTGCAGGATCCAGCAATCAGCCTGGCCTTTTAGCCAGTGTTCCCCAACCAAAACCCCAAGCCCCACCCAGCCAGCCTCTGCCACAATCTCAGGCCAAGCAGCCACAGGCTCCTCCCACTCCACAGCAGACGCCTTCCACTCAGGCCCAGAGTCTGCCCACTCAGGCCCAGGCCACACCCCAGCACCAGCAGCAACTCTTCCTCAAGCAGCAACAGCAGCAGCAACAGCCACCGCCACCACAGCAGCAGCCGGCGGGCACATTTTACCAGCAGCAGCAGCAGGCCCAGACTCAGCAGGTAAGGTGGTCAGAGTGTGGCCCTTGCTTGCATATCTGAGTCATGACTATGACAAGGCCCACTGGGTAAAGGCATCTTCCCAGAGAGCCATGAAACATTACTTCACCATTTCTCATAGATGTAGATACTAAAGCATTGAGAAGCGGATCCATCATACACCCCTTCATCCTTTTTCTCAGGCCATGAGGAATCTGTCACCTGATTGAGGAACATCAGTACAAGAGCTATTTTTTAAAGACTGCTTTTTTTTTCTAATATAACTGTAGCACCATTATCATAATAGAGGAAAAAGTAACAATAGTTTCTTATTATCAAATATGCATGAGTGTTTGTTTCTGATGTCTCATAATTAAGTTAGCTTGGTTGAATCAGTATCCAATAAGAACAGATTGTATTAAGTTGGTCTATATTGTTTTCCATTATCTTTTCGTATATTTTTTCACATTTTTTACTATGAACGTATTCATTTTATAATGTTTAGTATATCTTTTTTTTTTTTTTGGAGATAGGGTCTTGCTCTGTTTCCCAGGCTGAAGTGAAGTGGTGTGGTTATAGCTCACTGCAACCTCCAATTCCTGGGCTCAAGTGATCATCCCAGCTGAGTCCGTCAAGTAGCTAGGACTATAAGCATGTGCCACTATGCCTGGCTAATTTTTATTGGTAGAGATAGGGGGTCTCATTATTTTGCCCAGGCTAGTCTCAAACTCCTGGCCTCAAGCCATCCTCCCACCTCAGCCTCCCAGAACACTGGAATTACACACATTAGCCAATGCGGTTGGCTGATATATCTTTTAAGTCCCTTTTTATCCATAGGTTCCCTCTCCCCTTTTTTTTTCGTTTTTGTCATTTAATTTTTCAGAGAAACTGGATTATTTGTCTCATGGAATTTTTTGCATTCTGGGTTTAGCTGATTGCATGCTGTGGTGTCATTTGAGGTGTTTGACCATCTTCCATGTACACTGGTAATTTCTTGAGGCTTACTCAGTATTCGATTCAATCTGACAGCTGTTCTTTGTTCTTCCTGTTGCATGGTGTCAGAAGGTCTATAATGCCTCGTCCGCCTCTATTTCATTAATATTAAGATCAGGGAGCATGTATTTTCAGATCTCCCTGAAGACCGTGTTTTCCAAAAACATTTAAAAAAGGAAAAAGAAAAAGATCAATCAGTGTGTTGAGCTATTGTCTGTCTGATCCGTTTGTTTAACATTCCCCATTAGCTTAGCAGCCATAGCTGATAATTTCCCAGGTTCCTTAATTCATCAAGAATGGTACAATGATATTCTAACCCTCTTCATTTGGGGGCTGGAAGTTTTCCATGAAGAAATTTTTTCATCAACTCTTTAGTTACCCTGAGGTATTGTTTATACAGAAAAGGCAGGAGAAACTCTTGATCCTTTCCTTTTGTTTACTAGTTTTCAGAGTAATAAATTTGTTCCATCTTAGCATCCAAAGGTGAACAGTGAGGTTTTTGTTTTGTTGAGTTTAGTATCTTTAGGAATTCTTAGATTTTAACATATTTGATATATTTGAATACATTGCTCTTTTTGTATGCCAACCTCATTGGCTAATGTGTGTAATTCCAGTGTTCTGGGAGGCTGAGGTGGGAGGATGGCTTGAAGCCAGGAGTTTGAGACTAGCCTGGGCAAAATAATGAGACCCCCTATCTCTACCAATAAAAATTAGCCAGGCATAGTGGCACATGCTTATAGTCCTAGCTACTTGACAGACTCAACTGGGATGGGGCCTTGCTGTGTTCCCCAGGCTGGAGTGCAGTGACTATTCACAGGCAGGATCCCACTACTGATCAGCACAGGAGTTTTGACCTGCTCTATTCCCAGTCTGGGCTGGTTCAACCCTCCTTAGGCAAGCTGGTGGTCCCCTGCTCCTGGGAATTCCCTATACTGATGCTGAACTTAATGCAGACACACAACCGGCATAGCACACTACAACCCAGAACTCCTGGGCTCAAGCAATCCTCCTGCCTCAGCCTTCTGAGTAGCTGGGGCTATAGGCGCACACCACTGTGCCTCGCATATTGCAGTTTTTAAAAATTTATTTTAAAGCTCAGATTGTCCCAACTTTGGCCAGCGGAAGTCTATTCAAATTGACTCCTAAATCCTTTGGATGTAACTCCAGTGGTGTTTAATGATTTCCTTGCTATCTAGGATCATGCTGCCCTCTAGGATCATACAGCCCTCGACTTGAAATCATCCATTTTTCTTAGGAGCTCTGTTTCTTTTTAGTGGAAATAATGTTTAGAAACCAGTTTTGATGCTAGAGGTACCATTTGCCTAATGGATTGGTTGTTGTTTCTAGGCCTTCTCAGTGGACAATTAGAAAATATGTTTTGTTTTGTTTTGTTTTGTTTTGTTTTGTTAGAGAATAGGCATTATGAATTCAGGTTTGTATTCCTAATTTGGATTTGTAATTGCTGGATTTCTGTTTAACTTCTTGGATTTTGTTGTATTTTTATCTGGAAATCTTGAGTCTTAACAGCATTAACGTAGTTAATTAATTGATCTATCGTTTTAAGATAGCAATAACCATATGATTACTGAAAAGAGTTTAAGATTTCCTTGCCCTTTTTACCCTTAGAATGTTTATCACATTATTTTCTGGAGCATTCAGCTACCAATTTGATAAACTGGTTTATTTGCATGGTTTTGCTTTTGATTTTTAATTATTGATTTTTAAATTTTAGTTTAATTCTGTTTCATGGATTTGTAAAACATTTACATAGTTTCAAAGTTAAATCTGCAAAATTCCATCTCCCACCAACCCATATATAGAGGATATTGCCCTTTCCTATTTACGATTCCAGAGTATTTCATTTGATATTTCCTTCAGGATATATCCATTATGGTTTATTTAATCAGCCAGTCTCCTGTTGATAGACATTTAGTTGTTTCCACTATTTTGCTGTTTTATAGACAGCTATTTTTTTTGACATTTTCTACTTTGTTAAACCTTTAACTTTGCCCCAGTAGACAGACAGTATCCTCCCAATTGACTCTAATAACTACATAACAGTATATGGGATGTTCAGAGATACAGTCTTGACCTTAGTTCATCAGCAGGCCCTTATTTTGAGCTCTGTTTGTGTACGTAGCACATAACCCTTAACAGTGGGGATTAGAGAGACATGTAACAAGTATGGGCCAGGCACAGTGGCTCGTGCTTGTAATCTCAGCACTTTGGGAGGCTGAAGCAGGAGGTAAAGCATACCCTGTCGTAAATTAATACCAGGAGGTTGAGACAGCCTGGGCAACAATTGTGAGACTGTGTGTCTACAAAAAATAAGAAAAAAAATTAGCCAGGCATGGCGGTGTGCACCTATGATACCAGCTACTCAGGAGGCTGAGGTGGGATGATCACCTGAGCCCAGGTGGTGAAGGGCTTAGTGAGCCCAGATTGTGCCACTACATTCCAGCCTGGGCAACAGAGCAAGACCCTGTCTCAAAAAAAAAAAAAAAAGTGTCATAGAGTATACTGACTATTTTGGATGTTTAAGGAAGTTTGATAAAAATAGAGCTCTTGGGAAATAATTTTTAAGAAGACTTGAGATGAGTCTTAATAGTTGAGTTAACGTTTAGGTTATTCTTTTCAGTGTCATCATTGCTTCATCCTCTTCAGGTAGGGAAGCATTTTAATCTTGGCTACTTCAAATCCCTTTATAAGAAGGATTACTTCTGTGATTAGGAGATCGTTTATTAGCTCCTGCTATACTCTAGCTTATGGAGTCACGTGATGTTTAGTCAGATAGCTTCCCTTATGCAAGGCCCAGAAACCCCCTTGGAAGGCCAGTCTGTAGTGCAGGAGGCAGCCTGGTGCAATGGATGGAGCCTAGCGGCGTAAGGTACTGCCGTGTTATATTTTAATGCCCTGAGGTCTCCATCATGAGATTTTAGGTCTAGCCTAAAGACTTTTTTTTTCTTCTTTTTTTTTTTCTGTTTTTGAGATGGAGTTTTGCTCTTGTTACTCAAGCTGGAGTGCAGTGGCGCAATCTCGGCTCACCACAATCTCTGCCTCCTGAGTTCAATCAATTCTCCTGCCTCAGCCTCCTGAGTAGCTGGGACTACAGGCACGCGCCACCATGCACAGCTAATTTTTGTATTTTTGGTAGAGACAGGGTTTCACCATGTTGACCAGGATGGTCTCGATCTCTTGACCTCGTGATCCACCCGCCTTGGCCTCCCAAAGTGCTGGGATTATATAGCTTAAAGACTTTTCTACTTGCCCTTGCCTTTGGCTTTAGCACTGGTCTTCATTGTTACTGAGACATTTGTCTTTTGTGACTGTTATTCTGGGACAGGCCCTTATTTACCTCCTCATTTCTCGCTCAGTTTCAGGCAGTACATCCAGCAACCCAGCAACCAGCCATTGCTCAGTTCCCTGTGGTGTCCCAAGGAGGCTCGCAACAGCAGCTAATGCAGAATTTCTACCAGCAGCAGCAGCAGCAGCAACAACAACAGCAACAGCAGCAGCAGCTGGCCACAGCCCTGCATCAACAACAGCTGATGACTCAGCAAGCTGCCTTGCAGCAAAAGCCCACTGTTGCTGCAGGACAGCAGCCTCAAGCACAGCCAGCTGCAGCCCCACAGCCAGCCCCTGCCCAGGAGCCAGCGGTAAGAATCAACCAGAGCTCAGAGCACAAAAGCAGGAGAGCAGTGTGCAGTGAGAGCTAGGGAAAGGGTGGGAAAGACGGCAGCAGCTGATGAGGGGCTAGGTCTCTTTCCCACCCTGTGGTTCAAATATTTGAACTTTCCTTGATATATCCAAGAATAGTATGAGATGTTCTGTAGAAGATAGAGGTTTTTAAAAAAATGATTCTAGGCTACTGATGAAGAACCTTCTTAATTTTTATCACTCTGAAACTAGGCTAGCAGGAAGGTCTGTTCATCATCTCTGTCAGTGTCACTTTGAACAGTCAAGGACCTAGGGTAGGATTAGAGCTAATTCCTTTCCCTTCCTCAAGGGGCAGTTTGATCCATTATGTCCTTTCTAGGCTCTGGAAGTTGTGTGGCCCCACCATTGCCCTGAGTCCTCCATGCTGTGCTTATTTGTTTTGGATGACATTACTCACCACATTATTTAAGTTTACTTTGCAGCTCCTGTCAAGTACCTGCTTACCTGGGACCATTTACCCTGGTGCAGTCCTCCTGGGTACTAGAGCATCTGAGTATCCAGTCATTTGAGCAATCTTGTCAATTTAGAAATTGGGCATGTTCACTTTTAGATATTGGCTGAGTATGGCATCAGAACCCCTCTTCTAATTGTCCTCTACAGTTTCAGCACACACGGGCACATCATGCTTTGGCCTTTAATAAGTGGCTTTTTTTCTGTGCTCATATTTTTCTGAGTGATAGTGATAGAAAATTTTATGGTATTAGAAAAAGGCATTTTGCATACCCAGCTGATAGAGTGTCACAGCTACCCTCTTACTCCCAGGGAAGTCCAACTACTAGACAAGCAAAGAAAAAGTAAGAAACCATCTTTCTGAGGACTGATTTCTAATAGAGTTTTGTCTCCCATCTTAAACCAGAAAACCTACATCCCTTTGAAAGGAAGCAGTGCTGTAAATAGATTGTCTTCTTTAAGTCTCAGCTAAGTGTGTGTTTAGTGTCTTTACACCTTTGTTTCTAAAACAACTCAGACTTCCTGAAGGCATGGAGTAGACAGTGAGTCTCTGTATTTTTAACAGGAGATAAAGTTCCTCTTGTTTGTGGAAAAAGAGTTTTTTTAAAAATTAGTACACAATGTAGCTAGAAGGGACCTTAATTACTAGTTCAATCTTCTCATTTTATGGAATTGGAAACTGAGGCACAGACTAGAAAATGATTGCCCAAGACAAACAGACTGATCGTAGCAGAGCTGGGGCAAGAATCAAAGAATCCTGATCCGTGTTTAAATTTGATTATAACAAATGCTTATCCAGGGTGATAAAATGATCAACTACTACTGACTGCCCTTCTTATGAGAGTCCCCTATGCTTTTCCTAGACAAAAGTGTCCACTGTCTTGGGAATGAATTATGAACCTTCTCCATGTTCTCTGGATGAAAAAATACTTCGAACACTTTGCTCTGGGATAGGTGGTTTTGGGGACAGAGAGGAAACAGAAGTAAACCGTGCTTTGGCCAGGAGCCATAGAGCTTCTCAGCTTTGACCCATCCCTGTCTCCACTGACTCTTGGCAGAGCTAATCTAGAGAAGCAAGTGAGTGGAGGTAAAGCATACCCTGTAGCCATCGTAAAGCAGTAATTGGCAAAGGGAAAATGGCCATATGCCCTAGATGTTTACTGAAGTCTTATTAGTAATAGCCCAAAGAATGGAAGCAACTTAAATTGCTGAGGAACCCAACTGTGTAGCCATTAATACCTTGGTTATAAAGTCTGTACAACAGTATGAAAAGAAATGCTCATGAGGTAATGTTAAAAGAATTGTGAAATTATGGAAAAAACTACGTACTTGAAAAGAGACTTAAAATATAAGACACCAAAAATGTAAGAATTGTATCTAGTTGTATTAGAGTGGTGGAATAGAAGCCTCTTTCCTGTATTCTTATATTTCATGATGTGATTATACTCCTTTTATAATTGCATATTTTATTTTTTTAAAAAATCTTCAGCAAGATAGACATCTGAGTCTTTTTATTCCTTCTCCTGTGGTCTGTCCCTCCCTCCTCCCTGTTTCTAGTCCTGTGTGGATTGGACGGCATCATGGTGCAGAAAAGAGTTATAAGCCACAGTCAGAAGACATGGGCTCTGCTTCCAATTAACCCTGTGACCTTGAATGAGCACTTGGCTTCAGTGGGCTGTGGTCTCACCTCTAAAGTACAGGAGTTGAAATCTCTGTTTTCTAAGACCCCTTTCAGCTCTCACATTCTTTGATTCTAAGTGGAAGTAAAACTGTCTGCCAGAACCCTGGGAGGTATAGCTAAACAGGTACAAACCACTTAGTGTCTGTAGATTGCTGTTATAGGGCAAGGTCCTGAAGGAGGCATCTGGTCTTCAGTGTGTTGCATTTGGAGAACAGGAGAGAAAAATACTCTCCAAGTGGTACGAACACCTTAGTTCAACCATTGTGGAAAGCAGAGCTCTCTGCAATTCTTCACAGAGCTAAAAACAGAACTACTATTCAACCCAGCAAACCTATCACTGGGTATATACTCAGAGGAGTATAAATTGTTCTGCCATAAAGACAGATGCATGTGTATGTTTATTGCAGCACTGTGCATGATAGCAAAAACATGGAATCAACCTAAAATCCTATCAGCGGCAGACTGGATAAAGAAAATGTGGTACATATATACACCGCAGAATATCATGCAGCCATAAAAAAGGAGGATGGAGCCTTTGCAGGAACATAGGTGGACCTAGAGGCCATTATCCTTAGCAAACTAATGCAGGAACAGAAAACCGAATAGCACATGTTGTCACTTACAAGTAGGAGCTAAATGACGAGAACTCATGGGCACAAAGGGAAACAACAGACGCTGGGACCTACTTGAAGGTAGAGAGTGGGAGGAGGGAGATGATCAGAAAAAATAACTCTTGTGTACTAGGCTTAGTACCTTGTTGACAAAATAATCTGTATAACAAACCCCTGTGACACGAGTTTACCTGTTTACCTCTATAAAAAAACTGCACATGTACCACTAAAATAGAAGTTTAAAGCAAACAAAAAAGCAGTAACGTTTATTAATTACAGTAGAATTCTGTCTGACTCATTCCCAACATGTGGTCTTCCTATGGCAGAGAGTGAGGGATCTCTTAGCAGAAATTATTCAGCTTAAATGTGTTTCAGCTGGAGGTATGTCTTCACTGGCCTCTGTGGTGATAGGATCTATTGCCTGCCCTTTGGAAGCATCCTGATTGGGTTTGTATGTGTCTCCGGAAATAGAAAGTGGTCCTTTCTGATAAATTCCAGATCTTTACAGCTAGGAATAGTTTCTGCATTCTTATGCTCTGGGCTGATGATGGTTAACATATGGTTACCCTGTATATTATTGCTGATGAAGATGGAAATTTATGTTTATCAGAGAAATACCAAGTTGTAATTGGTCTTAAAGTTGCAGCACAGATTGTCAAAGCCTGGATATTTCTTTCTGGGTGTTATTGTTAAACTTAGCCATTCAAGTCCCATGTTAGCGCTCATGTGGCATTTTTTGTTGTTGTTACACTTATCTATTTGTTTTCCCTTTAACTTTTTTTTAAATTTAATGAAACACTTTCCATCTCTCTTCCTAGCAGATTCAAGCCCCAGTAAGACAACAGCCAAAGGTTCAGACAACCCCACCTCCTGCCGTCCAGGGGCAGAAAGCTGGATCTCTCACTCCTCCCTCATCCCCCAAAACCCAACGTGCTGGGCACAGGCGTATTCTCAGTGACGTAACCCACAGCGCAGTCTTTGGGGTCCCTGCCAGCAAATCAACCCAGCTGCTCCAGGCAGCTGCAGCTGAGGCCAGTCTCAATAAGTCCAAGTATGTGGTGCTTCCTCTTTGTTGTTCTTAACTCTGTGGGCAAGTTCTGCCTGTGGCTATTAGTGTGTGATTCTTTGCATAAGTGTGTAGATGTGTGTAATACAAATACAGTGGTGTGTACTTGTGTTCATTTATTTTTCTGACTGGCTTGTTTCATCTTGCATGTACTTGTGTTTAATGAGCAACTATGAATTTGTCTTTAGTGCATGGGCCACACTAATCTTAAGAAATCTTTTTCTACTTGGCCCACTGTTTTTATTCTCTCACTCGTTCCATGCTCTACAGTGTCTTTTCTAAACTCTCGATCTGACCGAGTCTCTTCAGGCTGAAACTCTTTCATTGGCTCCTCTTTACCTGTCAGATGATAGCTGAGCACACTGCTTAACACAGCAGGGCCTGTTGTGTCCCACAGACCGACTTGCCACTCTTTACCTTCTCGAGCCCTTTGTTCCTCCTATGCCCTCTCCTGGGACTGCCGCACTCCTCCTTGCCCACCTAGGGAGTGTTCATTTATTCATCAAGATCCATGTCAGAGGTTGACTTTTCTTTGACCCTTCCTCTGATGTATAATTTTTATCTGAACCTTTTTTTGCACTTGTATGACACTGTATTATCATTAATTATTTGTATGTCTGATTGAACTAGTTTGTGAGTTCTCCAAGACAATGACCATGTCTTAGTCAACCTTTGGAAACCCAGTGACTGGCTCTGTGCCTGACAAGTAGATTTTGATGAGTGTTGAGTAGATGCAGTTTCAGACCCTTAACCATGCGCTCTAAAGTTAAAATCTTTCAATTAAGTTCAGAGAGACTTTATAAGAAAATGACATAATGGTACTTAGATGCACAAAGTAGTGGGAACTGTCTTTATTTTGTTTTAATTGTGAGGTGGCCCTTAACTCTATGCATACTGGATCCTGCAAGGTGGGATACAGCCTAAATAGAGCTCTTTCCTGCCCCTCCAGGGGTCAGTTATTGTAGATGTTATGGTGGTCACCACAGGATACACAAGTCTAAGAACAGGTTGTTTTTAGATCCTGAACTGAAACAACTTGCAGATAAGATTAAAAACCTAAGCAAGAGATTAAAGAAGTAGTGGGAGGTAGTGAGTCATGAAGGAAAGGAGACGTTCATTTCACAAAGTGGGAAGGATATCTGTGGAAATTGTTCAGGTGGTATGGAAAGCCCTTTTAGGAAAACACTGTGGGCCGGGAGCAGTAGTTCACACCTGTAATCCTAGCACTTTGGGAGGCCAAGAAGGGTGGATCACCTGAGGTCAGGAGTTCGAGACTAGCCTGGCCAATATGGTGAAACCCTGTCTCTACTAAAAATACAAAAATTAGCCAGACGTGGTGACGGGCACCTATAATCCCAGCTACTCAGGAGGCTGAGGCAGGAGAATTGCTTGAATCCTGGGGGCGGAGGTTGCAGTGAGCCAAGATTGTGCCATTGCACTCCAACCTGGGTAAAAGACTGCAACTCCGTCTCAAAAAACAACAACAACAACAACAAAACACTGTGGTAGAAAACGATGGCTTGACTCAGAAAAGAATTTGATCCTGAAACAAAGAGAAAATAAGCTTACCCTTTTTGTTTTGTTCAACTTTTATATCTGTTTGTTTCATGGGGGTGGGAACCTACCTAGGTCTGCAACCACCACTCCATCAGGCTCTCCTCGGACCTCTCAGCAAAATGTTTATAATCCTTCAGAAGGGTCTACATGGAATCCCTTCGATGACGACAATTTCTCCAAACTCACAGCTGAAGAACTACTCAACAAGGACTTTGCTAAGCTGGGGGAAGGTGAGTAATCTGTCTTTTTTGGTGCTTCTCAATTGTAGATTCTCTATGCTAAGAAATAACCAGGAATGAGAAAGAATTTTAACTCTAGAAGTGTATGCAAGTGAAAACACAGGCTTGGACCTTTCCTTAAGGCTTGATTTCAAAGTATGCATACAAATTGGTTTTCATTTTTACCATGGCCCTGAAGTCTTCATCTTTAGGAAATCCTGATCTATTGTGGGTGGTAGCAAAGAGTGTGAGGCTTAGGGAAGAAACTTAAAGGAAAGATTTGGTGACATAGATCAGGATAACAGCATCAGGCATGGACACTCCTTGGAGGAGTGTGATGGTTCCCTCATTCTAGGTTGGTTTACTGTCCCAGAAAGTTGTCACTGCTTGTCCATGAATGTGCCCTCACATGGACACTGAATCTTTCTTTCACTAGATCGCATTCTGTATTACTGTTGACTGACCACAGAAAGATGATTAAATAAATAGAAGATACACTTCTGCCTGGAAAACGGTCTACTTTGGAAGGCAGAACACACACACAGGCACATGCACACACTTTGAAACAAATTCTAATATGCATAATTCTAATAATATTAGAGAGTACTCTAATAAAAAGAGTACTCTCAATGTAGATAAGAGTTCAGGATAAAGGAATGATGAGAACCAATTGTGTGGTATGAACTATTGGCCAAATATTTTGGTTTAAACTATTATTTTATAGAAATCTATTAAAACTCCAAGGCCAGGTGTGGTGTCTCATGCCTGTAACCCAGTAATCTGGGAGGCTGAGGCAGGAGAATCGCTTGAGCCCAGGAGTTCAAGACCAGCCTGGGCAAGATGCCAAGATCTATCTCTACAAAAAATTTGAAAAGTTAGCTGGACGTCTTGGCACAAACCTGTAGTCCCAGCTTCTTGGGAGGCTGAGGTGAAAGGATCACTTGAGCCCAGGAGGTCGAGGCTATAATAGACTATGAATTCATGACTGTTTTCCAGCCTGGGTGACAGAGTGAGATCCTGTCTCTTAAATTTAAAAAAAAAAAAAATGATTCCTATTACTTTCTTGCCTTTTTAAACAGAAGATAGGGCATAATACATAACTTTCTTTGACAACATCTCATTATTGCCACCTCTGCCACTCCCTCTTCTCATTTGCTCTCCTAAACTGCTTCCAACATGGAAAGCAGATCGTCAAACTCATTAGCGCTATATAAAGTAAATACATTACAAGTGTGGGCTGGAGCCATTAAATGTACAGTTCCGTAGTGTTAAGTACATTCACACTGTTGTGCAACCAACCAATCTCCAGAACCCTTTTCATCTTGCAAAACTGATGATATGCTCTTTTGATTCTTAACAATTTCCTTTTTTTTCCTCAGCTGTTCTCTCAGTTATTGCAATGACTAGACAAGGATCTCTAGCCAGTGTGTCACCATAATGCAATAAAACTAGTCATGTCGAGAAGTCAGTTCAGAGCATGCCCCTCACCTCTTCCATGGGTGTGTGCCTCACAAGATTTTACTAGAATGAACTGAGTAGTGTTTTGTCTCTCCAGGCAAGCATCCTGAGAAGCTTGGAGGCTCAGCTGAGAGTTTGATCCCAGGCTTTCAGTCAACCCAAGGTGATGCTTTTGCTACGACCTCATTTCCTGCTGGAACTGGTTAGTATGGCAAATACCTGGAACACGAGGTTCACTGTTGTTACCTTCACATTGTTTTTCACTCCACAGATAACTCTAGCATGCAGTGAAACCCGACTCCTGGCAATAACGTGTGTGTATATATATATTTTTTTTCCATGGTCAATATTTAATTTAAAACTTTTTAAAATTCAAGATCTTTCTGATCAAAAAGGGATAAAGATTTAGAACCACTTTGAATTAATGTGGCAGGACAATCTGGCAGTCATATACAGGACTTGTTCTCTCTAGGCCACAGGCATGCCTTAAGCAAATATGTGTAGATTTGAGGAACACCGGTCTGTTTATTGCTTGTAATTTCTTAGGTTTCTTGGTTGACTTGAAGAATTTTTAAAATTAAATGTTCTGTTATATCTAACACTCCTCTAAACTGTGTTTGTGTGTGTATATCTTTTATTACATAAAAGTTAGTAATTTGTAGAGAAGAAAGTTAAAATTCTCCATGATCTCACCACCAAGAGATAGCCCAGGGATACCATCTTGATGTCTGTTAGTGGCATTTAATATTTTGAGAGTCACAGATATCTTTGTGATCTAATGAAAGTTATAAGTCTCCCTGACCAAAATGCACATGACCACAATTTTTTATTTTTTATTTTTTGAGACAGAGTCTCACTCTGTCACCCAGGCTGGAGTGCAGTGGTGCAATCTTGGCTCACTGCAGTCTCTACCTCCCAGGTTCAAGTGATTCTCCTGCCTCAGCCTCCTGCCAGAATTACAGGCACCTGCCATCATTCCCGGCTAATTTTTGTATGTTTGTAGAGATGGGGTTTCACCCATGTTGGCCAGGCTGGTCTTGAACTCCTGACATCAGGTGATCTGCCCGCCTCATCCTCCCAAAGTGCTGGGATTACAGGCGTGAGCCATTGCACCCAGCCACATGACCACAATTTTGTACACCCTTTGGCCCGCTTCTTGAGACTCTGATGTGCATCTTTTTTTTTTCTTTCTTTTTGAAATGGAGTCTTGCTCTGTTGCTGGGCTGGAGTGCAGTGGTATAGTCTTGGCTCACTGCAACCTTCATCTCCCAGGTTCAAGCGATCCTCATGCCTCAGCCTCCCAAGTAGCTGGGATTGCAGGCATACGCTACCACACCTGACTAATTTTTGTGTGTTTAGTAGAGATGGATTTTCACCATGTTGGCCTGGCTGGTCTTGAACTCCTGACTTCAGGTGATCTGCCCGCCTTAGCCTCCCAAAGTGCTGGGATTACAGACGTGAGCCACCGTGCCCAACCTGATATGCATGTTTATAGTCGTACTGAAGCCTAATTTTTCCACTTAATGAACCTGGCACATTTCTTCTACATCATTGAAGAAGCTCCTAAAATATACTTTTTTTAAAGTACTTGCATTAAATTCCATTATATGGCCAGGCGCAGTGGCTCACACCTGTAGTCCCAGCACTTTGGGAGGCCAAGGCAGGCGGATCACTTGAGGTCAGGAGTTTAAGACAAGCCTGGCCAACATGGTGAAACCTTGTCTCTACCAAAAAATTAGCCAGGTGTGGTAGCACATGCCTGTAGTCCCAGCTACTCAGGTAGCTGAGGTGGGAGGTTCTCTTGAACCCACGGGGCAGAGGTTGCAGTGAGCTGGACCTCTAGCCTGGGCAACAGAATGAGATCCTATTTCAAAAAAAAATTTCTAGGATACACTAGATGTATGATATATCCTAGTATATTTAACCAATTGCACTTTATTTCAGTATTTACTATTATAAATACCTCAGCAATGAATGTGAGCTTTTGAAAATATTCTTTGTAAGATACAGAATTTGGCATGCTTCTAAAAGTGATCTTCTTTAATTATACTCATTAATATCTATTTTTAACCTTATCATATATTATTTCTGCCTGCTTTCTTTAGGTATGTTAGTAGCTTTTCTAACCTCATAAATTTATTTCTGAATAGAACTTTGTCATTTCATAATATTTGATATGTAATGCTCTTTTATTCTTGTTTTCTGGATATTTTTAAATAGAAATTTCAATTTCCCCTTTAACTAAAAGTTACTCAGGTTATGTTTTCATTGCACTATGACCAGTATGGTCTGTCCAGTCTTTGCTGTAAACTATACTGAAAGGCTTTCTGTAACCCAGTTTGTTATTCATTTTATAAATGTCCTCTGGAAATTAGCAGTTTCCATGTCAATAAATATTAATCTACAACATAATTGTTCATGGAAGAATAGTAATATTTATTTAATATCCCCTTTTATGAATATTTACATTGTTATCAATTTTTCACCATATAAATATTCTTGAAGCTAAATTTTTGTTTATATCCTTTACAGTTTCTTTAAGATAACTTCTAAGAGACTATGTGCTAAATCAAAAGTATGTATTTTTTAAGGTTTTTGATACATATTTTCAAATTGTACTCCAAGAAAGCTATATATATTTTATTTCAATTAATAGTGAATGAGACTCATTTTCCCTACCATTTCTTCACCTGGCCCAGCACAGCCCAGCCCAAAGATTATAGAGAGAGAACATTATTTACTTATTTATTTTTTTGAGATGGAGTTTCACTGTTGTTGCCCAGGCTGGAGCACAATGGCATAATCTCGGCTCACCACAACCTTCGCCTCCTGGGTTCCAGCAATTCTCCTGCCTCAGCCTCCCGAATAGTTGGGATTACAGGCATGTGCCACCACACCCGGCTAATTTTGTATATTTAATGTAGATGGGATTTCTCCATGTTGGTCAGGCTGGTCTTGTATCTTCCAACCTGAGGTGGTCCGCCCACCTCGGCCTCGCAAAGTGCTGGGATTATAGGCATGAGCCACCACATCTGGCCAGAGAACCTTATTTACTGACCCATTTTTATTTATTCAAGATTTGTATTGTTTGTGTCCTTTGCCTTTTAGATTCATTTGTAAGTGTGCTTCATATGTGACATATTAACTTTTCCTAGAAAATCATCTGCAGTTTTAAAGTTTTTCATTAAAGTCAATATGTGTATATCTTTTATACTATTTTATCTGTATACATTAATTTTAATTGTATGTATTTGTGTTTCTCTTTTACTTGGTAACTAGCTAGGGGTTGGATATTTTATTATATTTTCAGAGACAACGCTTAGATTTATAAAATCTTCTGTTTTCTGTCTATTCTTTAACTTTTGCTTTTATCTTTATTACATTTTCTTGTTTGTTTGTTGGGGGTGGTTTGAGATTGTCTCGCTCTGTCACCAATGCTGGAGTGCAGTGGCGGGATCTCAGCTCACTGCAGCCTTCACCTCCCAGGTTCAAGTGATTCTTCTGCCTCAGCCTCCCTAGTAGCTGGGATTACAGGCAGGTGCCACCATGCCGGCTAATTTTTTGTATTTTTAGTATAGACGGGGTTTCACCATGTTGATCTGGCTGGCCTCAAACTCCTGATCTCAGATGATCCACCGTCTTGGCCTCCCAAACTGCTGAGATCACAGGCGTGAGCTACCACGCCCAGCCATTTTCTTGTTTTTCTTAGATTTGCTTTGGTGATATTAAGAGGAACAAATAGTAAAATATTTTAAAATTATTTTTTAAAAAATAAAGTACTTGGGCTGTGAGTGTTTCTTCACAATTTGACAGTCATTTTCAACCAGCACAAAAGTGTGAGGCTAATTATAATCTTCAGGGAGGCTTTGTCGTGTGAAAATATTCCACTGTCCTCTTTTCTCTTTCTCCAGTTGCCTTACTTCAGCCTTTGAAGATTACACTGTTTATTGAGAATGCTTTCTAATAAGTGTGTATTTCCCTAGTAAAAAAAATAGTGGAGTAGTATGGAGTTTACCATAGCTCATAAATCTTCATATGATATTCTCACTATTATTCTGGAGTTATGCTTTTCATTGGGTTGTTAAAAAAAAGTTTTGTTTTACTTTTAGCTTTGTTTGTGTAAACTTTATAAGTATGTTGATATTTTGGTGAGATTTAAAAATGTTCCAAAACCCATTCATGCTGCTTGAAGTTTGATGCACCACATGGTTGACCAAACGTATCAAACGTGTAAAGCGTGGACTGTTGTCTTTGAAGTAGAGCATCAAAATGATGATTAACCATGGACCTGGGTAGGATATAGTTTGTCTGGAAAGAGGGTCACGGAATAAACTCTGAGAGTCTTATTTACTGCCGAATCCCAGAATTTGGCACAATGGTTGGCTCCATAGAGATGTGTTGAATGAATAAGAAGGGTTGCTTTGTGCAAAAGTTTAGGACCTTGGATTTACCAGTGTTAACAACTGAGGTCTCTGATCATTTTTCCATCTACTCGCCCTACCACCCCCAGTTTTAATGCCTAGTTCTCATCTATTACACATGGTTATGTCTCATTGTTTGTGTGAGCTGTTTTTTAATGAGCTTTATTTTGGTTTTCTTTCAGCCTTTCCACCACTTTTTGTTTACTCTGAAGGCTGCAAATGGTAGTATTTTTTTAAGGGAATTAAAGGCCCCACCACAAACACAGATTTGAGTAAAGTTATGACATTAATAAAATTAAACATATATCAAGCACATGACACATGTTAAACCCACTGGATAAGCAGTTTTTTTGCTCACTATCTTAAGTGATCCTCACAAAGGCCACTTGCTCAATGGCACAGCTGGAGAATGACAGAATAGAGATTTGTACCTGCAGCCCAGCTGAAAAACTAGTTATAATCACGTCTCAGGAATCTCATAAACCAGCAACACTAAGCTTTTGCAAACATTAAAAATTGTCTTTATAGTTTCCTCAGTTCATTCGGTCTTTTTCTGTGAACATTTGGTATTTTCCCTCTCTCTTGTTTGCAGTGTAAATGTTTCTTTTCTGTGACACCTTCATTTTTTACAAATGACAGAAAAGTATGTCTAGATCCCAGGAACTAATTTGCTCTCATTTGTACAAAGTGCAGGATGGCATCATTTTCTATCTGAACTCAGACTCTTTACAGATTTGAAACCTTATGACTGATCAAAGGAGAAATGAAGCAGGAAATTTCATAATGGGTTCGGGAGGATGGCACCGGGCTATATTAAACATTTTTATGGCAAAAGCTGCAAAAATGATGGACTGTGTCTATACATTGGAGGAAAACCAGGCAAACTTTTAAAACTTCACATTAGGCCTCTTTATTTTCAGGTGTTTTCCTGTATGTTAGTTACACATATTCATTTATTAAAATGTGGATAAATGAATAAAAGCCCAAAGTAAAGGAAATAAAATCTAACTCCACCTTGAGAGAGCATTTGCTGACATTTTATAGTATTTATATGTAGAATTTTATTTCTGCATATAAAGTTTTTTCAAACATGACTTACACCATGTATTCAATTTTGCAGTTCGCTTTTTTCTTTTACATAGGTTTCATTGTGTCTCATTTAAAAATATTCCAAGGACTTAAAAAGCAGTTATTTTACCTTTCTTGTCCTCCTTCTACCTTCAGAGCAACTTAGTTAAAAACCCACTTAAATAACAAAATTATAAAGAATGAAAACAGAATAGTGGTTTCCAAAGCACAATTACAGGAATAAGGGGTGGGTATGACTGCAGAGGAGTAGAATGAGGAGGTCTTTGGTTTCATGGAACAGTTCTGTATCATGGTTGCAGTGCTGCTCATTCTAATCTATACGTAGAATCAAGCTGCAAAGAACTATACACACAGGTTGGAGGAAGCAAAGGTCCCAGAGGGAACTAGGGGCCCCAGGAGGGAGTGCTTTAAAGATTGAGAAATTTGGTTTGAATGAGGAGTTGGGGGTCCTAGAAAGAGGTTGAAGGTCCAAGAAGTTGAGTGTTGGAAGGTGTGAGATTAGGATCCCAATGAGAGTTGGAAGTCCAAGGAAGGGTGGAGGGTTAGAGAGTGAGCATTCAGAGTCCAAAGAAGAAAGGTAAGGCTAGTAGTGTGTCACTGGAGGTTGGAAATGACCTCTCCTCCCGTCCCCACTTCCCAGGGCAGGCCTGGAGATAAAGAGGGCAGATGCTCACAGTCCTGAGAGTTCTGTGTGCTAGTCACTGAGCTGGGTCTGGTAGCAGCTACTGGCACACTGGGGCTGACTGGCCACTGGGTAGGACATGGCTAGGGAGGTGGGCAGTGAGTAGCCTCACAGTGCCTCCTAGACACCCGCAGCTCTGTTACCCTTCCTTCTGCTGGGTGGAGTGTCTGGGCAGGGCCACCAGGCTGCCCACTGAGGGGATGCCACTGTGCCTCCCCATTCCCTTCTGCCACATCTGGGCATTAACACCCCAGTCTGTCCCTGTTGCATTTGCCTGTTACATATCTGGTTGAGCTGTGGCTGGGAGGTTCCTGCATACCTGAGGAAGGGTAGGCACCATGCATGCCACCTCCTCCATGTCTGGATCTGGGGCACTGGGGCACTGGGTTCCCACATTTCAAGGACCTTTGGAGTAAAAGCAGGCACTGCATGTCTTTGAAGCCAGAATGCAAAGGAGGTGGCCAGGTTCCAGGAACCAGAAGGGTCACTGGTCTATCCAGCAATCCCACCTTTGCCTTCTACTTTGTTGTGCTTCTCAAACTGCGTCTTGCTGGTCCTGAGGTGGTAGCATTAAGGGTGGCAGAGGTGGCTGCTCTGACAATGGTAGAGTCTGTTCAAGGGATACTTCGTACTGAGCAAGAGAGAATAAGGGACTGGGGCACTGGGCTCTCGGGCAGGGGAGGTGGGGAGAAAGAGGTCCGGTCCACCACTGGCTAGGAGAAACGTGAAATAGAGGTGGGTGGGGTGGGAACTCTACCATCTCATCACAGCTACCCTAGCAGACCCCAGAGCATCCTCCTCATGCCAGAGGCAGAGCTGGAGAGAGACCAAGATTCAGAGTCAGGTGAAGTCTGAGACAGGTAAAGAAGGAAATCAGAGCCAGGTGCCCACAGAGATGCTGCCAGCGATGCCCACACATGCCCAGTACTTTGACTCCTCTGCAAGCTCGTTTTACAAACACAACACTGAGGCCAAGAGAGGTGAAAAGAAATGTCCCACATTTGATGGCCCAAGCCAAGAGGATTAGTAGAGGGGAAATGCTGGGCCCCACAATTTCCAGATTCAACTCAGCACCACTCAGGTTGAGAAGGTGGGATTCAGGGGTCATTGAGAAAGAGAGGGATGTCCAGGGAGAGAGATGAAAAGAGGCAGAGAGGCATGAGTGGCGTAGGGTGGGGTGGAAGGAGAACAGCAGAGGGTGCGGGTGTGGTGCCAGAGCCAGAGGTACTGGTGACACCAGCACTGAGGGAAGAAAATAAGAACCATATGTACATACACAAATAGGGTCACATATCAACTGGTGAGCACTGAGAAGTGTAGGGCCACAGTACTGTGCTGGTGTCAGTGATCTCGGGCTACAGTTTACAGAAGACATCACCACTGTGGGTAGCTGGCTGAAGGGTTCACAGGACTGTATGTGCAGGAACTTCTTGTGATTCTGTATTACTTTAAAATAAAACATTTTTTTAAAACCCACTTAATAGAAACAAAATGAGTTTTTGTTTTTTTTTTTTCTAGAAAGACAGCTGAGAAAATGAGATTCTGATTAATGAACAAACTGAATACTAAAATGCAAAGTAAAGAATGATAATGTAAAGCTGGGTGTGGTGGTGCATGCCTGTAGTCCCAGCTATTAGGGAGGCTGAGGTTGGAGGATTGTTTGAGCCCAGGAATTTGAGTCCATCCTGGTTAATATAGCAAGACCCCAGTCTCTTAGATAAATAAAATAAAATAAAATAAAAATAATAATAAAGTGGAAACCAAGAAACCTGGCTTCTGATCCTACCTCTGGCTAATCTCTTTAACTTTTAGGCTTCCTTTTCTTTTATGGGAAATAAGAAAATTGTGCCAGAAAATTCTGAGACCATATCAAGCTCTGCTATTCCATAGGGTGTATAGGTTTCTGTAAACCTGCATGCAATAGGATGTTAAATATAGTACAGAGATTAGGGCTTGTCTAATCTTGCAATAAGCAAGAAGTCTATTTCTGCCCCTTTCTGTGTGTCTGCCTATTACTATATTAGACATCTTGGTGATATAATAGGACTTAGTCCTTAAAGGACCTGAAGAGGGTAATAGATCCATAGGAAGTACCTATATGCATACTAGATTACAAAACAGACAGTGTTATGTTTGTTTATGTGCTAAAATGTGTGATATGGACAATACCTCCTCTAGATATTCTGAAAGAGATCACCGTAGACTGCAGTATATCCCAGGAAGAAGTGGTATTCAGACATATAATACCTTGCTTTTATCATTAATTGCATCTCATAAATATGTTACAAGGACCAGGCTGAATATCTCATAGACACTCTGTTACACTAGGCCACAGCCACTCATCTCCCTATATTCTAGGTTTAGATTTGCTCTGTAGTTTGAGCTGTTGCATTAATAGAGGGTTAACTTACCTAGATTTACTTGGTGTTTTTCCTTTTCTCTTTTTTTCTCTCCTGACTCCTCCTTTTCTTCCAACCAAACTCCAGCTGAGAAAAGGAAGGGTGGGCAGACTGCGGACTCTGGCCTCCCGCTTCTAAGTGTGTCTGATCCTTTCATTCCTCTTCAAGTACCTGATGCACCAGGTAGGTAAATGGAACTGTTTTGAGGTTAAGCAGCTTGATTTGCATGTCCCAGGCCCTGTGGAAAGTTCTGCCTTAAACGCCCCATGAAAAGGATTTGAATTCCAAGCCCTAATAATAGGCTGCTGTTGTATATTGTTACTGTGTCTCAAAAAGAGGGGTAAACTAGTCTTGGAGGGTACCAGCCCTTAGCAAAGATAAAATCAGTTCAGGTTATACCAAATTGATTTCCATATTATATCAGTGTTCAGTTTTTTACCTTTGATTGTGTTAATGGTGACGTGAGGGGGCTGTGTATTGGAAAGAACATTAGTCCAATATGATTATAACAGTGGTGGGGGAGCCTATAAGCGCATGATAAAGTGAACAAAATATGAATAGTGGTGATAGTATGATAATGGGATTGTGGGTGACTTCTGTTCAGTTCTTAATGTATTTTTATTTCGTAATATAAAAACACATAATAATAATTAGGAAATGTGATAATAATAGGGAATGTGAATCAGGAGACCTGGGTTCCCTTCCAGGCTTTGCCACTACCTGAAAACCTCTGGTCTTGGCTCTTCATCAGTGAAGTGTGTTGGACTGCAGGAGTTTGAATATCTCTTGCAGTCCACCATATTTCAGTTTTAAGTATCAGTCTTAAAAGTAGAAAGTGGTTGGTGTGTTCTGATGGAAAGAGCTTTTGGAACAGTGTTGGATGCTTCCCATTTTAAGTTGCCAAACCTTTTCCTTCCTACCTTCCTCCCCTGGTCTTTTTGGTGGGGGTAGTGGTGTGGGGAAGAGAATCCGCCCTTTCTCTTGTCTATCAGTCTCTTCACAAAAGCAAATGGTTCCAGCTCCTTAGAAGCAGTTGACAGTTGTTTTGCTTCTGATCATTTTTCCTTTTTCCTCAGTGTTGCCCTTGCCAACTCTTGACCTTTAACTGATAGGATTGGCTTGTTTTTTTTTTTTTCTCTCCCAATATGTTAAAGGTATTTGATTGCTTGCTTCGAGAATGGAAGTGATGGTGATGTTCGTATCCTTTACTTTGTCTGCTCATCGTCACTCACTAAGATAGACTGCAGCTAGGGTACCAAGGCAGTTTTTATTTTGTATTTTTAGACAAATTTCTTTTCCCCTCTAAGGAGAAGCAAATACTTGCCTTGATCAGGTGGTACTGTGTAACTATATCTTATTGGACCTAGATATAGCTTAAAAATACTGAAAACTACTGTCCGACCTACCCTCTGCGGGAAGACTGAGCTCGTTCGGAAAAAACCGGACCGCAGGCTAGAGGAAATTCCTTAAGTTCAGGCTTTATTGAGAGGAAAGAGCCTCCGGGCAGGCCAGCCGGGACGAAAAGGAAAAATGGCCGCGCCGCTCAAAGGGGCAGGGTTGTTTTATAGGGGGCTGAAGGGCTGGGGGTGGGGAAGCCAAAAGCCGAGGTGGTGGGCAACTGTTGGTCAGTTTGAACTGCTGGGCGGGAAGCTGGGCGGCGGGAAGCTGGGCGGCGGGAGGGCTATGGCCGGTATGTAAAGTGAGAGATAAGGGAGCCTCTTTGTGGGGGAGGGAAAGAGAGAGAGAGAGAGCTTTTGCGGTAGGGGCAGAGTTTTCCAAACATTCCCGACTCCTTAAAGAAAAGAAAAAGAGGGGGTCAGGGGCGTCGGTTGTCTCTCTGGCTACTTCCTGCTGACAAGGGTCGACGGGGGGGTTCTGAAGAGGTTTCTTTTCCTAAGGAGCCTGGATGTTCGGGGAGAGGTCTGTTTCTTGCACTCGTTCAGGGTAGGGTTGGAGCAGCATCTGGTGGATGGTGACTCGAGTCAGTTCTTGAAAGCGCCGCTATAGGAACTGTAGAAAGCAAGGAGCAATAAGTAAGATTAGGCAAACAGCTACTAGGGGCCCAAGCAACGGGGACAAGAGGGTATACATAGAGGAAGACCACCACGCCGTGGCTTCAGCCGAGAACTTCTGACTCTGCAGGTTAGTTTTGAGTTTCTGGAGGCTCTCGATTTGGGTTTCTACTAGGCCGGATTCATTGATGTAGTAACAGCACTCTTCCTGTAGGAAGATACAGGTCCCTCCTCGTTCAGCAGTGAGCAGGTCCAGGGCTCTTCGGTTCTGCAAGGCAACTTGGGCAACTGAGGTGATCTGTCGTTGGAGTGATGCTAAAGACTCAGTAGAGTCATCAATAGCCGCTTGGAGTTGTGAGGTCAGTCGGGCTATGGCCAGGTGAGAGTGGACTAGTGCCCCTCCTCCTAATCCTGAGTAAAGTAGGGGAGGTAGCTGTCTAGAGGAGTAGTCTCTGGCGGTGGGGGAGTTGAAAGCAGGAAGGGGCAACCATACAGCAGCTCAAATGGGCTAAGCTGTGATGGGCCCCGGGGGCTTGCTCTTACCCTGGTGAGGGTGATAGGAATTAAGGTTACCCAGGATTGGCGGAGCTCAAGCATGAGCTTAGTCAGATGCTCCTTTATTAGGCCATTGGCCCGTTCCACCTTACCAGAGGACTGAGGATGGTAGGCAGCATGTAGCTTCTACTGAATTCCTAGAGAGGTAGAAACGGCATTAGTGACTTTGGAGATAAAGGCTGGGCCGTTGTCTGACTGTATGGTAGCCGGGAGTCCAAAGCGTGGGATGATGTCTTGAATGAGATGAGTGGCTACTGTCCCGGCAGACTCAGAGGCTGTGGGGTAAGCTTCAATCCAGCTTGAAAAAGTGTCAACAATGGTTAGCAGATACCGGTACTGTTTGTGCTTTGGCATATGGGTGAAATCAATTTGCCAGTCTTGGCCAGGTAGGAACCTGCGTAGCTGATGAAGCTGGCGCCGGGGATGACAGGAACCCTGGGAATTAGTTTTGGCGCAGACAGTACATGAGGACTGGACTTCCTGTATGGTACTGAGGAGATGGTGAGGGTGAAAAAGTGGGTTGAGGAATCGGTATAAGGCTTTAGGCCCAATGTAGAGTGAATTGTGGATGTCTTGGATTATCTGGTACCTTTGCTTTTCAGGGAGGATGAGGAGGTTATGCTTGAAGGCCCAGTCATCCTTGAACTGTACCCCGGGGGTAGACTGGAGGGTCTGGAGTTCTGAGGCAGAGTATTGAGGGCTAGGAGAAAAAGGCTGTGTGGGCTGGCGGTGGGGAAGGTTATGACGGCCTTCAGCTTTGAAAGGATGTCTCACCCCAGAAGGGGAACTGGGCAGGTGGGGATTACTAAAAAGGAGTGGGTGAATGGAGTGGAGTTATATGAGCACATGAGTGGTGGGGTTTGATAGGGGATACTTGGGGTCCCATCGATTCCCATGACTAAGACCTGGGAAGGGGTGAGATGGCCAGAATAAGAAGGAAGTGCGGAGTAGGTAGCCCCCATGTCTTGTGACCCTAGGCTCGGCGAGGGTAACCGGAGTCGGAAAGCCAGGGCCCCGCTAGTCATCTAGCAGCCCTAGTAGACTGGGGAACGGAGCTCCCTCGGAGGTCGGCTCCTGGCAAGCAGGCTCCTCCCTACTGAGGGTGACCGCCGGCTGCGTAACGCCAGTGTGTCTGTTTTGAGGAACCGGCACCCTGGGGAAGCTGGGGCAGTCTGACTTCCAGTGTCCCGGGAGCCGACAGATAGGGCAAGGCTTAGTTGGTGGCCATGGTTGTGGACAGGCTCGGGACCAGTGTCCTTCCTTTCCACATTTGAAACATGCCCCTGGAGGGGCATGGGTTTCGGCCTTGGGCTTCTGGTTCCCTGCCGGCCTTAGAGCCGCCACTAGGGCTTGGGTCTGGAGGGCAGCCTTCTGCTTCATGCGAGTTTGGCGGGCAGCCTCAGCCGCATCTTCCCTGGCATTGAATACTTTAAAGGCCATTTTTACCAGGTCTTGGATGGGAGTCTCTGGCCCCTCTTCTGCTTTCTTTAGTTTCTTTCTTATGTCGGGTGCTGATTGGGAGATAAAATGGGAGGCTAATACAGTGGCCCCATTTTGGGAGGCTGGATCTAGTCGAGTGTACTAGGGCTTCTTATGTTTGAGTGAGGTATTGGAATTCTTTAATATATGTGGACGGGTTGGCTGAGAAGGATCCTAAACGTGTCTCAATTTGGGACAGGTCTTGGAGTGAGAAAGGAACATGGACCCTGATTAAACCTTCTGTGCCTGCCACTTCTCGGAGTGGGGCCAGGATAGCTGGCTGGTGGGAGTGGGTGTGGGCCGCCACCGGAGAGGCAAGAGGAAGTGCGGCCTCTGAGGGAGGGGGCTCGGAGGGAGTAGAGGGAGAGCGAGGCATGGCCTCTGAGGTAGGAGGTGCAGAGGGAGTGGGGGAAGGGCGTGCCGTTGATGGCGACTGGTTGCTGAGATTGGCAGGAGAGGACAGATGTTCAGGCAGATCCTCCGGTGAGGAGTAGGGAGGGGGAGAGGTAGTGGAGGAAGATTTACGGGGGGTTCGAGATAAGAGGATTTGGTAGGTGGAGCAGGAAGAACATAGGTCGGGGTGGGTACGGAGGTCCCAAAAAGCCTGGACGTAAGGAATTTCATTGTCCTTGCCTGCGCGGCGACAAAAATTGTCGAGATCTCGGAGGGTGTTGAAATCAAAAGTGCCAGTCGGGGGCCAATGTGACTGGTTACTGAGTTTGTATTGGGGCCAAGCCACCTGGGACAGGAAAATAAGCTTTTTCTTTCTGAGGGTTTGGGAATATCCCAATTTGGTAAAATTCGCAGCAAGCACCCAAGGGGGGTGCTCAGAGGTATTTTGGACTCCGAATTTCCCATGGCAGGCGCAGCTACAGACTCTCCGGCGCGGATGGGCAGATGCAACGAAAAGGCGTCCCCGTTCGTTGCAAATTCCCCGGAGTACAATTAAGTACGGAAAGGGAAGCGGTCAGAGGGGCGTCCCCCGTCTGGCGGCTGTCCCTCGGAAGGCTCCTGGAGCCGGAATGGAAGACTACCTTGGCTCGGCCGAGACTAGGCAAGGAGTCCGTGCGGAACGCCGGAGAGGGAGCAACTGCACCGTGCCGTAGGAAGGGGAGACGGGAAGCGGGGGAAGGCAAAGCAAGAAAAACTTGGCTTACCTTAATCGGAACGTGGAGGTGGCAGGGCCAGTGTTGGGTAGGTCGGGGAGGGGGGCCGTGGCCGGGCCAACGGCCTCAGCTCCCGTCCCGGGTTTCCGGCACCATTCGTCCGACCTACCCTCTGCGGGAAGACTGAGCTCGTTCGGAAAAAACCGGACCGCAGGCTAGAGGAAATTCCTTAAGTTCAGGCTTTATTGAGAGGAAAGAGCCTCCGGGCAGGCCAGCCGGGACGAAAAGGAAAAATGGCCGCGCCGCTCAAAGGGGCAGGGTTGTTTTATAGGGGGCTGAAGGGCTGGGGGTGGGGAAGCCAAAAGCCGAGGTGGTGGGCAACTGTTGGTCAGTTTGAACTGCTGGGCGGGAAGCTGGGCGGCGGGAAGCTGGGCGGCGGGAGGGCTATGGCCGGTATGTAAAGTGAGAGATAAGGGAGCCTCTTTGTGGGGGAGGGAAAGAGAGAGAGAGAGAGCTTTTGCGGTAGGGGCAGAGTTTTCCAAACAACTACTAAGGAATGATTCAGTGCAGTGTAGTTAAAAGAAAGGAATGAAATAGAGGCACTTTTTTCCTTTGCACTCTTCAGGTATGCCTGGCAGTACTTAGACAAGTTCATTTTGAACAGAAGTTTGGAAAAGTTGGGCTGTAAACTCCAGCTGGGCCTCTCTGTCTTCTTTTCCTCCCTGTTTGGTAATCATGGGATCAGACAAGGGAAAGAGTTGATAGAGGCATTCTCCTTTTGATACCCCTGCGGGTTCTTGCTTCGCTGTTGCTTAAGTAGCCCATGGGCTGCAGAAGCCAGGAGGAAGGCCTGTTTGCACAGGGCAGATGATGAGGGCCCTCAGGCAAGTAACTGTCCTGTGCAGCTGTCGCAGGAGTCCTCTGGATCAGGGTTGAAGAGCCAGGCACACACCCAGGTGGCTCAGGAAATCAGCTTCAGGTTTTGAAAATGTATCTGAGGCCACCGGCGCCAGCTGGCTGCCATCCTGCTTACTTTCTTGTCATCTTTCCTGTCTCCTGGTCCTCCATGCTTCTTTCATCCTGGTGGAGTCCTGCTGAAATGTTACTGGCATACGCTTTAATACCAATTAAGCCAGGACCTCTCTTGGGTTTCAGTGGAAAGAACAACTAAAATGAGACATTTTAATAGAGAATTCCAGGAGTGTCTTATTTACTTTCTGATCTGTCAGACCAGACTCATCTGTTGAAAACATAAGTTAGACAGTTAACTCTTCTGTGCTTTGGTGAATTTTCATATCACTGAGGGGGCATAAAATCCAGGCTGCTTACTATGACCTGCAAGGCCCTAAGTGGTGTGGCCATTGGCTACCCCTCTAATCTCAGCTGATAGCAGCCAGCTTGTCTTTTCTGCAGCAAGCTAAGCTTGTTCCCACCCCAGGGTCTTTACACTTGCTGGCACTCAGCTTGGAAAACCTTCCCTTCATCTCTGTTTCCTTGTGTCTTCAACATTTGGATCTCAGCTTAAATGTCTTCTCGGAAAGGCCCAGTGTAGTCCCACAGGCACTGGTAGCCACATCCCCTGGCACTTTTTCTTCATAGCCCTTATCAGGACATAGTCTGTCTTTCCTCATCTTATCACTCTCTGAGGGAGGGGCCTCATCTGTCTTATTTGCCACCTTTATCAGCTGTACCAAGGACACTGCCTATATTCATTCAGTGAGTATTTACGGATCAGACAAATGAATGAAATAAAACCAGAGGCTGGAAGCCTTTAGGTGGCCCCATTACCCTCCATTTCTGTCCCAGCTCCCAAGAACCAGATGACTGGTTCCATAGCCTTCTATCTGCACGTCTGCCAACTCCCAGCCAGTCCCTCCACACCCACTCTTTGAGGGTGAATAAAGGAAGGCACAGCTCCCAATGTCAGGCAGCCGCCAGCCTCTGGGCTGATGAGAGTAGTAGCTAGGCTCAGCAGGTCCTTCAGCCCATCCTTTCACGGTCCCCTGCAGAATTGTGCTAAGTATATTACCACAGTGGCTTTGACTATTCTACTTATTTTAACATTCAGCCTCTAGCATGTTCAGTTACACAGCTCCTATATCAAGGCCACTGCATCCTTTTTTTTACATTTTAAAATACTGAATGAGGAAAGGGCTCAGGGTTCAGTGTCCCTCTGGAGACTGAACCAGTTTGATTTTATCCCACAAAAAGCAAGCAGTCCATCACACTTCCAGCCCACTATGGACACTAGTCAGGTTTTTTGCCTGTTTTTCTTTCTTTGTTTTGCATACATGCTCATCTTCTGCTCTCAGCCATACTGATGATAAGAATCATGGAAGGCCGGGTGCAGGGGCTTCGCCTGTAATCCCAGCACTTTGGGAGGTCGAGACAGGTGGATCACCTGAGATCAGAATTTTGAGACCAGCCTGATCAATATGATGAAACCCTGTCTCTACTAAAAATAGAAAAATTAGCTGGGCATGGTGGTGTTGGCTGGTAGTCCCAGCTACTTGGGAGGCTGAGACAGGAAAATTGCCTGAACCCAGGAGGCGGAATTTGCAGTGGGCTGAGATTGTGCTACTGCATTGTAGCCTGGGCGACAGAGCAAGACTGTGTCTCAAAAAAAAAATAAAGAAGGATCAGCTAGGCGTGGTGGCTCACACCTGTAATCCCAGCACTCTGGGAGGCCAAGGCAGGTGGATCATCCAAGGTCAGGAGTTTGAGGCCAGCCTGACCAACATGGTAAAACCCTGTCTCTATTAAAAATACAAAAGTTAGCTGGGCGTGGTAGTGTGTGCCTGTAGTCCCAGCTGCTAGGGAGGCTGAGGCAGGAGAATTGCTTGAACTCGGGAGTCAAAGATTGCAATGAGCTGAGATCGCGCCACTGTACTTCAGCCTGGGTGACAGAGCAAGACTCTGTCTCAAAGAAATAATAATAATAATAATAATAATAATAATAATGGAATCTCAGTCTCTCCTGAAGACCACGCCTTTCATTGACTTTTTAACATTTTTATTTTATACTTTTAAAATGATTTCACATACAAGTGTCTTTGATCTTATAGACACTGGGAAGTGGTAAGTGGTAGATTATGTCAAGTAACACCTTCATTGTGTGGGTGAGGAGGTGAGGCCTTAGTGTTGTTCTGATTGTGCTCAGCCACACCTTCCTTCTCACTGCCCACACTCCCCAAACGGTGGATGTTTCTTTTATCTTTGGGAAGGTTCCTAGATCAATAAAGCCTTTGACCAGGGAGCTAAATTTAAGGCTTCAGGAAATATAAAAATAGATTTGAAACTGTAAGACCTGGGTTCTAGCCATTAGTGGCTAGGTGATTGTGGTCAAATCACTTAAATTATGTGTTCTTATCCTTAAAATTGGCAATACTAAAGCCTACCTTACAGGGTAGCCCCAAGGTTCAGATGAAATCATATATTTGAAATTTCTATGTGAATTTTAAATTACTGTAAAGCTGTTTCAACTTTGGTTCTATATCCTTATTCCTAATATTCCCAATGGGGCAGTCCTATAGTTATCATAAAGTGATGTTTTTCTCTTGTTGAAATTAAACTTGCTCCTATGACCTCTAACTTTTGCACAACTGAGAGCCATTAAAATAGATTTCCTGAATACAGTGATTGCCAAACTATGGGTAAAGGGCACTGGATAACTGTAAGTTGGTTCATTGGTTCATTTTAAGGAGAATTTTTATTTTTATTTTTATTTTTTTTCTTGTATGCCCGCATTTTTATTTTTCAAAGCACTATAAAACAAATTTTCTTAGAAAGTCTGGAATATGAAAACCATGAACATTTGTATGCTTACAAATCTGCCAAATGATGCATGGCTAGTGATTCTCAGAGTATTTCATGGATACTCAGATGCTGCTTGTCCATTTATTTGCCTTCTGTATGCATTAGGAAACAGGTAAGTAGTACCAATGTTTTAAAATATGGTAGAAAAGAGGCTGGGCCAGGCTCACACCTGTAAACTCAATGCTTTGGGGGGACCAAGGCAAAAGGATCACATGAGCCCAGGAGTTTGAGACCATCCTGGGCAACGTGGTAAGACCCTGTCTCTTAAAAGAAAACAAAAAAAATTTTTTTTTAATTAGCCAGGAATGTTGGTGCATGCCTGTAGTCCTAGCTACTTGAAAAGCTGAGGCAGGAGGATCCCTTGAGCCCAGGAGTTTGAGGCTGCAATGAGCTATGATCACACCACTGCACTCCAGCCTGGGTGTGACAGAGTAAGATCCTGTCTCTTTAAAAAAGAGAGTGTGTGTGTGTGTGTGTGTGTGTGTGTGTGTGTATACACAGACATATGTTAGAAAGATTAAGGAATTTTCTGTGAAAATTGGGGAAAATATTTTTAAATCATTCTTTTAAACGGTAGTAAAATTTACATAATGAGATTTACCCATTTCTAAGTGTACAGTGCAGTGGCATTAAGTACACTCCCATTGTTTTGCAACCATCACTACCATCCATCCACCCACCTTTTTTCATCTTGCAAAACTGAAACTCTGTACCCATTAAACAACAACTCTCTATTTCCCCTTCTCCCCAGCCCTTGGCAACCACCACTCTACTTTCTGTCTCTATGAATTTGACTACTACAGGAACCACATATAAGGGGAATCATACAGTATTTGTCCTTTTGTGACTGGCTTATTTCACTTAGCATCATATCCTCAAGATTCATCTATGTTGTAGCATATATCAGAATTATCTTCCTTTCTCCGGCTAAGTAATATTGTATTGTATGTATATACCGCATTTTCTTTCTCCTTTCATCTGTTAATGGACACTTGGGTTGCTTCCATCTTTTGCCTTTATGAGTAATGCCGCTGTGAACATTGATTGTACAAATATCTCTTCCAGATCCTGCTTTCAATTATCTTCGGTATATACCCAGAAATTGAATTGCTGGATCATATGCAAATTCTATTTTTAACCTTTTGAGGACCACTATACTGTTTTCTATAGAGGCTGCATCTTTTTATATTTCCACCAGCAACGCACAAGGATTTGAGGAAACGATTTTTATAACAACTCTTCAGTACTGATCTCGGTGTTTCACAAGACTAAGCAAGAAGGCATTCGTTGCCCCATCAGTGCTGCTTCTTAGAATTAGAAACTTTTTTTTAAAAGTACCTCTTGGTTTATGGCACTTCATCATCTCTTGAGAAGTTAAGCAGGAGAAGCTGTGTTTTCTCAGTGGTTTGTTAAGACAGGAATTCTTCTTACAACTTTTTGCCTGGCATCTCCCTTATTTCCAACTGCAGTCTTGTGATGCTGAGAAGTCCAAAGGTGATTATAATATGTGTTTTTACTCTGGAAAGCTTGTCTTTCTGCAGCTTTAATTCTCTGAAATGAACCTGGAATGGGGCATGATATTTGACTTTTGCTTCCAACTTGCAGATGTCACAAATGGTTTCTCAATACTGAGAACTCTTGGAAGTGGCTAGATTTTATTTTTAGTTCATTTTTTAGGGTGACCAGAGTTTTAAAACATCATCTCTCATCGTGAGATATCA